TGTGTGTTTTTCTGTGATCACTGAACACGTTGTTGCTGAATACAATGTACATCTGCAGATACTAACTGATATGGATGACTGGGATGATATGAAAATGTCAGATGATGATGATGATGACAGTGATGATGAAGAAAAAGAGGGAGATGAAGGTAAAGATTTAGCACTTAAAAACATTCATGTATGAATGAATGAATCAATCAAGAATTGGCATTATTGCTCTCGGAACATTCCCACACGTGCTCCGTCTTCAGTAACCAACAGAGTTGACATGCTAATAATTCCAGCTGCAACCTAATTAACCTGATTAAAAGTCTGCCTGTTTCCCCTTCAACTTTGAACATCTCCCAGAACTCTACTGGCTCTAGTATAGCTGATATCTCAAAGATGACATTGCTTCCCTACATTTGTGAAGTTTAGGCATGTCTAGCACACCTAGAGTCACCATGGTGTAGCGGCTAGAGGCCCATCGACGGATCGGAAGGTCATGAGTTCAGGTTCTGAGGGAGCCGAATATTTTTTTTTTAAATGACGTTAGCTCCCAGATTGACCCAGCCTTGAGTGGGTACCAGGTACAGTCCTGGGAAGTAAAGGAAATGGCAACCACATCGCCCGCCTAGTATCGATTAGTCTATAAACTATAGGTCTAGCCCTATATGCCCGATACACCTGAAGGTGTGGGAAAGGGTCCTTTACTTTTTAATTTTTGTTACCTTTTTTTTTTAAACTTACCTTGCTTGCTCTTATGCTCTTGCAGCCCCTGCTGCTCTCGGTACTTTGGTTTATCTCTAAACATGATGTTCTCAACAAGATTCTCTCAAAAACCAACTCTCTGCGGATCCCAGTTTTGGCACCGCAACAGAACTCATCCAGAATCCCCCCAAAAATACACAATACATGCAGCTTTTTAGTAAGCTGAGTTTTTCCTTGTGCGACATCATTGTAACATTATTTAATTAAAACAATCGTCCATCAGCAAGTCATTTACAGAACATTGCTTGTTGTCACGGCACACTTGAAAGTCTCTTTCTCTAGCCAACTCTCCAGCTCTGTGGGCTTTTATAGCCAGTGCATCTTTAGTGTCTTGTAGCCACCTTCCTGGTTGTCGACCTCTGTCACGTTTCCCACAAACTGCGCCCTCCATCATCCTTCTCTCCAGGTCATCATGATGCTTAACATAGTTAAAATACCTTAACTTTCAGGACAGGATGCTGTTTTTAAGTAAGTTCTGCTCGAGATTTAGACACATACATTCCCTGTGCAGGTTCTGTGTCCCAGTTATGGGGAAAACAAGAATAGACCCAGTGCCTTCCCAACAAGCATGACACAGAAGTCGACTAACTGGGGACTTCCTTCGAAGCTGGAGTGCATCCCTGAGCCGCAAGCAACAGTCAGCTGCCTACAGATAAGCCAGGAAAACTCAGGCTCTGTCACAAACCCCATGTCTAAATGGATGAACAACTGGGACTTTTCCGCCTGAGCTTATAGCTGGTGAACAAAAGAAGAAAAAAGATACACTCATAAAGCTAATCTAAATGCTCAGTAAAATTGTTTATATTGGCAGCAAGAAAATTTAAACTCAGAGTGTGTTATTAGTATTACGTGATTATCTTTGCACGTCAACTTTTTGTGTGTTCACTGCTAAAAGGACAGTTGGCTCGTTGTGTTATGATTTACAGCTGGGCTGCAGTATCTACGCCTTTCACCCCAACATATCTGATTAGTCACTCTTTTTGACATGTTTGTTAACACTGTCACATCAAGAAGACTAAATGAAGTCACTTCCAGTTATGATTCAGCTCCGTAAATGCTGATGTATCACCAGTTCTGCAGTGACCTGTTCTTGAAAAGGGTACATAGATGCCAGTGGTTCTGTAGCTCTTGTGTAGTGTTTAGGAGGCCCGGATGTGAATATATTAACTAATTATAGCCTTCACACAAGTTCCTTATGACCCCAGTGGCTTTTTAAAGGCCAAGTTGATGTCAAATTATCCCGTAAGCCTCATTGATATAGGTGTCATGGCATAGGTCATCCAATATATATATATATATATTTTTTTTTAGGTCCTAGAGAATGTATTCCATTTTACACTTCACTCTGCTCA